CATCCATTATTTCGGATCCTTCGGGTCCTAACCGATAAATAGAAAAGTCAAGTATCTAAAGAGGGTTCTCATTTCTTAATGAGACGACGATCCCCAACTTGTACTACATCGAGTTACCGAAAGTGTCGATTAAAATGCGATGCGTTCATTAATCATTTACGGGAGCCAAAATCGTCCCTAATGGATTTCGTATCAGGCTCGACCGCGCGATTATTTTCTTCATAAGTACAGCCTTGCCAAAATATAAATTAGCGAAACGGCTCTCGATTGGGGATTATTTTTATTTATTTTCGAGTTGACTACAACGAAAACATCGACGGATGCTTAACGTCAGAGAAGCTTAGGTAAACAAAATGTATGTCAGATTTATTTTTTTACCCCTACACGTAACATAATAAAAGAAAGAATACGAGGGTGAATAATGCAGATAAAATCAGTTTATACAATTGATTTCGATGGATTTTTGTGGGGGTTTAGATAATCTTATTATAAACGTCGAGATTAAAATCACGATAGCGGTGGTGCATTTATTATCTTACGGTCTACTTGAGCATAGCTGTACAAAAGAGGATTTAAACTGAGATATCCCCAGAATGCCATTAAAAGAATTATCCGAAAGGTTTACGTCACAGGTAATCATTACAAGTAAAATAATTGCCTTACGTGTAATGATACTGCAACATTTCCGAAATTTTAATTATAGCAGAGGCTTCTCTTTTAAACTAAAACTATTTTCAAGGTAGACGCCAGGTTTTCGACAACTAAAAAGGTATTTTTAAGATTTTTAAACAAATCTAAAACCTAAAACAGACTGTGTTTTACTAGAACGCGCACATTTATCGTTCTTATCTTCAGATATACTTTTGTTCACGTTTGTTATGAAGCGGTGTATGTGTAAATCTATGTTGAATCAATTAAATTAATAAAAGCGCTTCTAAAATTGCAAAGCGGTGTAATCAAGTGTTCAATAGAACCTCAATTCTTTCTTGTAAGGCTTAACAAGTCTTTATGGTAATTTTGAGGGTTACTGCAAAATCTTCAGTGGCTACTACTATATCATGTACGTATACCAACACATTTGCTTTGAATTGGGCACGGAGAATATTGACACTAATCCGTTAGCAGGTCGCGGGGGCGTTGGTACGCCCAAAGGGCATTCGACAAAATTGATAAAGGTCTCGCCTGGGTACCGTAAATGCGGTATGCGGACAAGAAGACTGGTCCATTCTAACTTGCCAGTGAGCAGAGTTTATATCTAGCGAGTTTTCGGGCAGTTGTTCCAGGATAGTAGAAATGTATGGCAAAGGATATGCATCTTTGAGTGAGAGAGTTCAATTTCCTCTAATCGACGCAAAATCGATAGGCTTCAGGAAGATGGGCGAACCCCATCCACTGTTTTATGGTTCGACAATCCCCTGTTCAATCATTTTGTCGCCCTCCTCATTAGGGAGTTTTTACCTGGTTGGACTCACCGGATAGTACCCTTGTTTAATGGGAGTTACGTCAGATATGTAACGGTATTCCATAGAAAATATTCATGCGCATGCAAATTTCAACATTTCGAGAAAGATCGGAGCACCAGGGGTCTGGGGAGTACGGAGCAACCTCCAGCACACCCGAAGAATCAATGACCTCCTTCCCAAGCATAGATTGATAGTTGCTTTCGTAAAAGAATTAGTCGTCTTAATTTCCTGGAGAGTATTCCATACCTTCCATACACCCCGTTGGTACATCTTCCTCAAAACATTCGATACTTAGATCTGTGTATAGAATTACCCCCAAGGAAAAACATGTAACAGCATTCCCTAGAAAATAACCATTCGCATGCAGTGTGTTCTCAACATGAGGGTGATCGAAGTTCCGGGGGGTCTGGGGGGTATGGAACACTCCCCAGATAACACGAAGAATTGAGTACGTTTTTCCAAAACCTATAATGATATTTGTTTTCGTGAAAGAATTAGTAATATTACTCTCCTGTGGGATATTCCATATCCCCCCCCCCCCCCGGTTGCACATCTTTCCCAAAACGGTCAGTTCTCAGAGCTCTTGTTATGGAATGTCTCACAAAAAAGACATGTAACGCCATTCCCTAAAAAGTAGTCATACGCATGCAAATTGGCCTCAACATTTTGAAGAAGAAGCATACACGAAATGTCGATTACGTTTTACCAAAAACTAAGATGATAGTTGCTTTTGTGAAAGGGTTAGTAATCTTTCATTCTCCTGGGGGGTATTCGATATCCCCAGACCCCCCTGGTGCTACATCTTCTCCAAAACATTCAATCCTTAGAAGTGACGTATATGGAATACCCAAAAAAAAGGCCATCCCCTGGACAATAGTCGTATGCATGCAAATTGACCTCAACGTTTTGAGAAAGTATGGAATACCTCCCAGCACACAGGAATTCTTCCACTCCTTGGGTGGTATTTCATACCCCTAGACCACCCGGTGCTCTCCCCACAAAATATTCAGTCCTCGGAACCCTTGTGTATGGGATGTCTCCCAAGAAAGAACATATGACGGCATTCCCTAGAAAACAATCATTCGCATGCAGTGTGTTCTCAACAGTTTGATAGTGATCGAAGCTGCGGGGGGTCTGGGGGGTATGGAATACCCCCCAGTATACACGAAGAATCGAGTACGTTTTACCAAAACCTATAATGATAGTTGATTTCGTTAAAGGGTTAGTATTCTTCCTATCCTGGAAGGTACTCCACATCCCCAGACCCCCCGGTGCTGTCTTCTCGAAGATATTCAGTCTTCAAAACTATGGAATGTCCCCTAAGAAAAACATATAACGTTATTCCCTAGAAAATAATGATTGACATGCAGATTGTTCTCAACATTTTGAGGAAGATCGAAGCACCGGGGGGTCTGGGGGGTATAGAATACCCCCCAGCATACACGAAGAAACGATTACGTTTTATCAAAAACTAAAATGATAGTTACTTTCTGTCAAAGGGTTAGTAATCTTCCATTCCCCTGGGGAGTATTCATCATCTAGGTATATCTCCCTCTCCGTAAAGTTTCCCTTGCCCCTATTAATGTTCCTCTACTCCTTTTATGGTAGTTTCACGACTATTGTCCTATTTAGCTTTACTTCAATTGTTTTCACCCCTATTCATTCTTTCTAGCGCATTTTTGCAAATTTATTTGTGAAAAGGCAGCTTGCAATCTCACTTTGGCTGATTGGCCGACTGGCTGGCAGTAAATGCGAACCAGTAAAAGAACGTCTGTCGAAAGACGAGGATTTTAGTACAGGGTGGCCAACTAAGAATTCGAGGTTCTGTATCTGAGAACCTATCCATCGTAGAGACTTGTGGTAAAAAAAGTTATAAGTAAAACGGCCACGAAAAAAACCTGGAAAATATTTTTCAGTTTCTGAAATGGCCACTAGGGGGCGTAACTGCAATCTGGAATTTAAAAAAGTGATGTTGTGAATTCCGCTATATTAACCTACAACCGGTCTTTGACGTCGACGATAATCTTAACCTTTTTTGTTTGACAATTTCCGCTGTATCTCTAATAATGAAGCGGTGGGGGGTATTCAAAGGTTTCAGTAAAGAACACCCTGTATCTTCCAAACGGCTAAGCCGATTTAAACACTCGAGTTAGTTCAAAAGATCTACTCTTCAGCTACAGGTATTATAATATTTGAAGTTTTGTTAGTTTCACATATCACCGCTTGAGGGCTTTTTTCGGCGTTCCGACAGAAATGGTTAATTTGCTCAAAAAAATTAATTATAATGCGTTGGTTTGATTTTTTTTATGAAAAGGTAGCTAAATCATGCCTAAACAAACTTGCGAAAACTCCATCTCGACATCAGAAAAATTAGCTTAAAAAAATAAAATTTTGAGGGTATAAAATTTTCTTTGGCCTACATTTTAGGTTAGGAACAAAATATCGAGATGCGGTTTTCGCGAGCTTATTTAGGCACCACTTAGCTACTTTTTCATGAAAAAAAATCGAACCAACGCATTTAATTTTTTTGAGAAAATTAACCATTTCTGTCGGAATGTCGAAAAGAGCCCTCAAGCGGCGATATCTGAAACTAACAAAACTTCAAATATTAAAATATTTGCAGCCGAAGAATCACTCTTTTTAAATAACACGAGTTTGTGAAAATCGACTCAGCCGTTTCGAAGATACAGGGTGTTCTTTACGAAAACCTTTGAATCCCCCCCACGACTTCATTTTTAGAGATACAGCAATAATTGTCAAATAAAAAAGGTTCAGATTATCGTCGACTTCAAAGACCGGGTATTTTTTTGTTAGGTTAATATAGCGGAATTCACAAACATAACTTTTTTAGGTTCCAGATTGCAGTTACGCCCCCTGGCGGCCATTTCAGGAACTTAAAAATATTTTCCAGTTTTTTTTTTGTGACCGTTTCAGTAACAACTTTTTTTACCGCAAGCCTATACGATGGTAATTACACCACGTGTAATTAACAAGTTTAGGGACGGGGTTGCATGATGTGGGGTCGGCGACCCTTGGGCGCCATCCCTGAGCGTGTTATACTAACGTGGAGGTTTTTCAGTTTTTTTCCTATTTTCTTCTACAGTTTTGGGCCGATTGTTTCACATTGGTGTCATTGGAAAAAGCGCCCAAAAGTTTCTTAGAGCCCTAAAGGCGACCTTCCTTGTTCGTGTCGCCAATGGAAGCTACGAGAGGTACCCAAAAATTGAGTACCTACTATTTTGTGGGTTTTTTTTAGCGAAATTCACCAAAATGCGAAATGCGGGTGAACGAGACGTCGGAGGTGGGTACCGATTAAGGGAATATGGTAACCCCCGACGAGATCTTACGGATGGTGGGGTCAAACCTTCAAACGTCCCTTCGATCTCACACGGGCTTCGATAATTTTTTCCTTTTTACTTCTCTCCATCTTCTTCCTTATTCTTCTATTTCATCTCTCCTTTGGTCACTATCTTCCCTCTTACATCCTTTCATCAGTTCTTCCAAGTCTTCTTCAGAAGAGTCGAAAAAACAAGAGAAAATGAATAATGAAGTTTATAATGCTGGTGACAACAAATGAGATTTAACTAAGTTTAAGTTTTTTCGAAAATACAGCTCTTCGCAATCCGCATAAAACGTACATTGCACCGAACACTATAAGTCCTAAGACAGCGATGACGTCCAAAAAGTAATGTTGGTAGAAGGGTATGAAGGTGGCAGGGCTTTGCAAGTGTTTCGCTCCCCTGTGACGCAAAACGTATTCAATCCACCAAACGGCTCGCTCCAGTCCCGTCATTGGTTGATCCATTGATAACTCGGCTAACTCCTTGAGTTTGGAGCGGTACCTGCCACAACATGACAACTTTTGATAGGGAAAATGGTCACTTACCTTTTATTACTGATAACTTCTAAAATGGTTTGCGCTAAGTGACGTTTTGTGAGTTGTCGATGATCGAGGTGTAACCCGTAACCTTTCCCGACCATTTCTTGGACGTTACGGGCTTGATCTGCGAAAAATGGTATCCCCACCATCGGTACGTTGGCGTAAATCGATTCGGTTATCGACTGAAAACCACCGTGGGTTATGAACAGCTTAACGTTGGGATGATCTGCAAGACGTGACTGAAAAAAACAAGAGATCGCGTGGTACTTACTAAGGACAGCCATCTGAGGCACCCAAGGGTGTAGCATCACGTTCTTCGGTTTGTTTGGTAAGCTGTCGGTATCAAACTTCCACACCACCAGGTAGGGGAGTTCGCGAAATGCCTCCATTATATCGTCACGTACTCGATCGTCCAAAAAGTGACTTTTAACGTTGGAGCCCAAACTAAAATAAATGAAACCGTCTTTGGCGTTGTCCAATGCTTCTTTCAGATCCTACAAGGGGACGCTATAAATTAAGATACCTGCACTTAGCGTTACCTTTGGAAGAGGTTTGGCTGGGAGTCGAATTAGGCTTCCTCCAATCGGTATGACGTTTGGCGTCCTTGGTCTGATAGTACGAAACACTGGTTCGGAAGTGACCAGTAGTAAGCTCATGTTTGCTATTAACTGCTCGAGCGGCGGGTACTCGCTCCCGAAATGCCGATTTGCTATCTCTTGGTACATGGGCATCAGTACCATTTTATCGCAAATCATAATAAATACATAGTGAACCACGCTGAAGATGCGCTGGAAAAGCGAGAGATCGTTCACGTAACTCACCCAGCCATCGGGATAAAGTAGTGGATGGGTCGGATTTCCCAAAGCGCTGTAAATTACTGGCGGTGCATCTATAGTGGTGATCCCAATGGAGGGGCAGTTGAATTTTTGCGCAAAGGCGAAGTAGGCCGGTCGCGTGGACTCAGTGATCACCAGATCGAACGACTCATTTTTGCTTTTAATGAGTGCCTGAATTGAGGGATGTTCCAGTTGTACGTCGCACGATTTTGCCAGGGCGATGTAAGTATTGATATACGTTAGGAAACCATTTGAGTAGACAATTTCTTTAAATTTTTTATGGAAAACACTGTTCGAGAAGCTAATATCGATCTCCGTGAGGTTGGTAAGTTTCGGGTCGTTAATTGGTACGGTTGTCAATGACGTTACCTGGTGACCTCGTAAGGATAACTCTTTCCAAATCGGCTGAGTTGCCACATGGTGACTGTGCGATGGTGTCGGTATGATGACCAAAATTCGAGCACAGTGAGAAATCGAACAAAACGCCAGAAGTAGGACACACAATTTGTCCAACATGCTCTCGATCGAAAACTCGTTACGCACTAAAATTTTGATATCTCAATTTACGCTCCTATCTGGGACCTTTGATCTCAACCAAAACAATTTCGTTGATGAATGAATACATGACAAAGATATTTGTCATTGCGCAATCTCAACATATAATTTGGTGAAGGAACTTATATACTGTAGGAAGGTTTAGGGTTATATACCTACGAATGTACTTCCTAGACATGGAAACGGAACAGGTATCTGGTAACAGGTGAGAAGGCATAACTGAGGTGTTCTTATGAACTGTCTACTTGAAAGCTGTTTATTGGGCCATGGGATGTAGTTCCAAATATTTTCATGAAATTAGGTATAGGCCCGTATGCGCTAATCAACCGTTTGACCTTGAAGCCCACTTCAGAAAAAAAGCACGATGACCTTGGAGCAGATCTCACGAATGATTTCATGCCCCAATAAAATCAATCAGTGATCTCCGAAGTTTCAATCAATAAAATCGCTTTAGATCAGGTAAAAACCACGATGACCTTGAACTTGGCGCCTGCGTAGTAGTTCAAATGACCCACCTTGGCGCGTGCGCAGATCAAAAGGTCACAGTCGGCTAGAGGTGCTGTATTCTTACTACGCTCCCCTTAGGATACCCTCAAGCTTAGATTAACGTAGCTTGGAGGCATCAGGACAAGAGCTCCCTCAAAACTTCCGGAACACAACTCGCAAGGAAGAGGTCAAAACGTGGCAGCTAAAATATCTCCAAACGTGGAAGAAAAAAGAGGTCAAAGAACTCACGGAAATCGAACGGACCAGGGAAAGCGAAAATTCAAAAGTTGTAGAAGGAATGAATGCGGAAAAAGCTGAAAGGGTGCCAAAATCGCTTAAATAGTAGTATACTCAAAAATCGAAAAAGCCTTTATACTCGCAGAATCCGAGAGCCAACGGGACAGAAAAGGTCAAAGCATTAAGAACAAGTACAAATTGTGCACAACCCTTGTGCAGGTAAAGCGAATTTTTTTAAACACTCCTACGAAATTTCTTCCATAAATAGGAAAGTTGGAAATGGAATGGAATTGGAAAATGGCGCTACATTTTTATTCCAAGTGGCTATGTATCAAACTTCACTTATTTATTTATTTATTTATTTATTAATTTATTTATTTATTTATTTATTTATTTATTTATTTATTTATTTATTTATTTATTTATTTATTTATTTATTTATTTATTTATTTATTTATTTATTTATTTATATATTTATTTATTTATTTATTTATTTATTTATTTATTTATTTATTTATTTATTTATTTATTTATTTATTTATTTACTTATGTATTTATTGATTTATTTATTTATTTATTATCCCTCTCTGGCTCTGGGCCCTCAACAGGCTTGCGCCCAATTACAGAGTGACCCGCATAATGCTTTTTAGAGGTGCCTCTGCAGAAGGTCTTAAGTTGTTCTATAGAGTAGCCGGCAGAATGCTCGAAACTGTCTAAGGTAATTTCCATCTCTGCCACAGATGAAAAGTTCACCTCAACCCAGGTTCGAACACCCGACCTCCGGATTTGAATGCCTCCATAAATAAGGAAGTTTGCACGGCGCATGCGCAAAACCAAATTTTGAAAATGGCGCTACATTTCCTTTTATTCCAAGTGGGTATGTATCAAATTGCATTTAAATCCCTCCATAAATAAGAAAGTTGGCACTGCGCATGCGCAAAACGAAATTTTGAAACTGGCGTTAAATTTGGTTTTATTCCAAGTAGCTATGTATCAAATTTTATTTAAATGCCCAATGGTTATATTTCTTCCAAACGGCCCAAAAGAATCATAACCGATCACGACAAGGGATCGAGGAGGAAGACTATGGTTAGTATAAATCGAGTTTAAAATCTATTGTGAACGTTTCAAATCGGGTCCTCAAGGGTCGTGTAGTTGACCGTTAGAGTGTCTGTGGCACTCTTCTGGGTCCTCTGGATCAAGACCCAAACTTTACTTTACCTCACTAGGGTCCCCTGGAGCCTTTCAAAAACTTCTTAATGATTTCAATAATTTTTATAGCCAGGGAATTGAAGGGCAATTGAGGTTCAGGAATGATCAGCCTACTAAAGTTTCTGTAAGGGTCCCTGGATCCTCTTTAGATCCCTGTATGCTTTTACCAGAGCATTTTTGAGAATTTGCAGATCAGACAATGCTTCCTAAACGCTTTCAGGGGGTATTGTATATGAGCATTTCAAGTACTTAATACTTCATTCGGCAATAAATAGATCGCTGAAGATTCTTGAACACTGTGCAGTCATCTGGATCCCCTCCAGACCTCCACATACCATTAACATCGTCCCCTAGAACCCGTACAGATCAGGAAAGGTCTTTTAATGCTTTCAAGGGTCTTGTCAATGATTGTCAGAACATTGGAGAGCATTTCAAAGTCTCTACGACTTATTCAGGGATGGATAAACTGCTAGAATGGTCCTCTGGATCACATCTCAACTTCTCTATGTCCTTACCATTGTCTCCTAGGACCTCTCCAGATAATACAAAGCTTTCAAGAATTTTATAAATGATTCCCAGGACAATGAAAGACATTTCACGTCGTTCAGGTCCTTGAATTGCTTCTCTGCCTTTTCTAGATCTCCCTATGCCCTGCCTCCTAGGACCTTTATTGATTAGCCTAAATGCCCCAAGGGTCCTTGTACTTGAAACTGAGTAGACTCCTCCAAATAGGTACATGCTAGGCCCTTTTCAAAGACAGACTGTATAGCCAGTTGCATAAATCTGCTACAATGCTTTGAAAAAACTCCAAAAAAGGGAGTAAGCTTTTTGGAAGGTCTACCAAGGACCTGTAAATGTTTAAAAAGCTCTCGGAAGGATTTAGGGGTTTGGAAAGGGGCTAGCATCTAGGTCCTAGATCATTTCGGAACAACAACAGTATGTTCTGGACAGCTAAATCACTCTGAAAAGAGCTTTTCGGAAATTTCAAAATTTTCTACACCTTCTAGACTTATTAATTTGGGTGCGTAGAATCCAAATCAATTTGTACTTTTTCGATCAGACTTCTCAATCAAAAGTTATCGACTGGAAGCCAATTTCGAAAAAAAATTCAAAGGGCTGTAACTTTTGAACTAGTGGCCCAATCTTGGAACTGTTTGAAATTATGGATTCTACAGGCCACATTCCATAAGAAAATTTTTTTTCCGGGTCGATCTGAGACAATTTTTTTTTCGGGGCTCAAAAAAAGGCAGTGTATAACCTTTCTTTTTTACCAAAAATCGACTACACCAAAATTTCTCGGGAAAACACTTTTTCTTATTAATTTGGGTGCGTAGAATCCAAATCAATTCGTACTTTTTCGATCAGACTTTTCAATCAAAAGTTATAGACTAGAAACCAATTTCGAAAGAAAATTCAAAGGGCTGTAACTTTTGAACTAGTAGCCCAATCTTCGAACTGTTTGAAATTATGGATTCTACAGAGCACATTCTATAAGAAAATGTTTTTCCCGGTCGATCTGAGACAATTTTTTTTTCGGGGCTCAAAAAAAGGCAGTGTATAACCTTCCTTTTTTACCAAAAATCGACTACACCAAAATTTCTCGGAAAAACACTTTTTCTTTTTAATTTTGGTGCGTAGAATCCAAATCAATTCGTACTTTTTCGATCAGACTTCTCAATCAAAAGTTATAGACTAGAAACCAATTTCGAAAAAAAATTCAAAGAGCTGTAACTTTTGAACTAGTAGCCCAATCTTGGAACTGTTTGAAATTATGGATTCTACAGGCCACATTCTATAAGAAAATTTTTTTCCGGGTCGATCTGAGACAATTTTTTTTTTCGGGCCTCAAAAAAAGGCAGTGTATAACCTTCCTTTTTTACCAAAAATCGACTACACCAAAATTTCTCGGGAAAACACTTTTTCTTATTAATTTGGGTGCGTAGAATCGAAATCAATTCGCACTTTTTCGATCAGACTTCTCAATCAAAAGTTATCGACTAGAAACCAATTTCGAAAAAAAAATTCAAAGAGCTATAACTTTTGAACTAGTAGCCCAATCTCGGAACTGTTTGAAATTATGGATTCTACAGGCCACATTCTATAAGAAAATTTTTTTTCCGGGTCGATCTGAGACAATTTTTTCTTTCGGGGCTAAAAAAAAGCAGTGTATAACCTTCCTTTTTTACCAAAAATCGACTACACCAACATTTCTCGGGAAAACACTTTTTCTTATTAATTTGGGTGCGTAGAATCCAAATCAATTCGTACTTTTTCGATCAGACTTCTAAATCAAAAGTTGTAGACTAGAAACTAGTGATTTTAAATTACACGTTTTTTTTAAAGTGCTTAATATTACGTGTAAAATTACCAATTGTTTATCTATTTTATGTAATTTATGTAACTTACCATTTTTTTTTAAAAACCGTAATTTTACAGTAAAATTACCAGTAATTTATGTTTTTTATGTAATTTACAAATATTTTTGTAACATTACCTTTCATTTATGTTTTTTATGTTTTTTTTTCAATATTGTATAAACCTTTTTGAATTTTGTGAGAGTTTGAAAATAAAAACACTTGTTAAATTATATATTTTGGTGTATTAAATAAAATACCCAAGCAGTAGGTATTTCGCCATCACGCGTCGTTTGGAGGAATAAGCTCCAGATCGCGAATTAGAGGCTGTATCATCTTCATTAAGCCAAACTAAATTCAACGGTGAATCGTTTGCGTTGGTAGTACCGTTGATGGTCTGTGCGTACCGATCAAAATGTATCAAATAGGTATTACATTTATGTAACTTACAAAAATTACGGTTTTTTAAATTAAAAACGTAAGTTACGTAAGTTTCATAAAAGACATAAATTACATTAAAAAACCAGCCTCTTGTGAGTTACGCGTAATATAACCGTTTTTTATCTAACTTATAAATCGTTATTTTACAATCCACATCACTACATGTGTGCCATGTGTGTCATATGTGTCATGTGTGTCATGTGTGTCATGTGTGTCATGTGTGTCATGTGTGTCATGTGTGTCATG